GGAACCTCCATACTGTTCTCCATAGTGGCTGTATCAGTTTACATTCCCACCAACAGTGTCGGAGGGTTCCCTTTTCTCCACATCCTCTCCAGCATTTATTGTTTGTAGATTTTTTTAAAATTAATTTATTTATTTTGGGCTGTGTTGGGTCTTCATTTCTGTGCGAGGGCTTTCTCTAGTTGTGGCAAGTGGGGGCCACTCTTCATTGGGATGCACAGGCCTCTCACTATCGCAGCCTCTCTTGTTGCGGAGCACAGGCTCCAGACGCGCAGGCTCAGTAGTTGTGGCACACGGGCCTAGTTGCTCCGCGGCATGTGGGATCTTCATAGACCAGGGTGTGGACCCGTGTCCCCTGCATTAGCATACAGATTCTCAACCACTGCACCACCAGGGAAGCCCCTGTTTGTAGACTTTTTGATGATGGCCATTCTGACCGGTGTGAGATGATATCGCACTGTAGTTTTGATTTGCATTTCTCTAATGATTAATGATGTTGAGCATTCTTTCATGTGTCTGTTGGCAATCTGTATATCTTCTTTGGAGTTCATTTTCACTTTTTCTCCTTGGACATATCAAAGGTTTAAAAATATCAAAGACTGCTCCATTATACTTGCTAAATTAATTTAACTTTTCTGAAGTTAACTTCAAATAACATGCGCCTTTCATAATTTTTACGACAATGAGTGAGATGATGCATGTAAAATATTTAGTTGCTATTATTGATGTTGTTTATGTTTACCCTGACATAACATCACCTGAATTTCTACTAGCTGACAAATTTAAAACACTGAGAAAGACTTTATAAATTTGCTGAATTTAACTCTCCAGGGCTTAAGTAACTTCATCCATTAATATAGAACAGCAGCTCTCAAACTCTTTGGTGTCAGGACCTATTTATACTTTTCAAAATAATTGAAGACCTCAAAGAGCTTTTGTTTGTGTGGATTATATCTATTGATATTTATTATAATGTAACTTAAAACTGAGAAATGTTTAACATATTTATGAATCATTTCATTTTAAATAACAGTAATGAATCCATTTAATGTCAACGTAAATATTTTTTATAAAAATAAACTATATTTCCCAAAAATAATTGAGAGAAGGCTGACATTGTTTTACAGTTTTAAAATCTCTTTAATATTTAGTTTTAGGGAAATATAGTTGGATTCTCATTTATGTATCTGCATTCAACCTGTTTTATGTTATTTGGGTTGAAGTTTATAAAGAAAATGCAGTTTTAAAGATAAATAGCTGGAAAAGGGAAACAGCAAACTCTCTAAAAGAGTATCAGAGGCCCCCCAGGGTCCTTGAACCACACTTTGAAAACTGCTGACATATACTTTTAATTTTTTTTAAGTATTGATTAAGATAATCTGTACAATAGGTACTGCTATTAATGCTGCTTTAGTTGCTATTATTTACATTTCATTTCCAGATACTGACAAAAGAACTTAAGTTTCTTGTTTTGTTGACTGCATTCACAGTTTCTAAAAAACCAAAAACCAATAAAACTAGTGATGATATAGATTTGGTAAAATGGTTAAGCTCCTTCACCAAATAATATCTGTATTTTAGGAGTTTTAACCAAATTGAGATAATACATTTTATATCTTTAATGTCAGTAATATGCATGGCTCAATGCCTGGCATACAAGATAGACTCAATAAAAGGCAGCCTTAGAATCACTCTTTGTTCAATGTACATAAAATTATACAAATAGATGCCAGGGATAAAACTGGCCTCACATACCCAATAACTCCTTTAGCTCATCTGGGATCACTCTGCTACCCTCTCTTGTTGTCTCTCAACAGGCTTACTTTTAGGCCCAAGAATCCTTTAGGAAAGTGAATAAATCTTTTAACAGAAACAAGCTAATACCAGTTCAGAGCTGGGCTCTGAGTAATGCTGACTTCCACTGACCTTCTGATCAGAGTGTGAGGCCTTCCCTAGAAACTTCAGATATCTAGAAATACCTAAAATACTGTGCAGCATTTCCTTGGGAATTGAATCTCCACTCCAGCACTTGTTTTCTGAGTGTAGATATGTCTACCCTTGTCAGGATTCCTCCAGAATGAATGCAAACTCCCCAGATCAAGTTTCTAGCCTCAGGCTCTTGTTCTCACATTGCTAGAGGGCAGGGGAGGGGGCAGTTTGGAAGGGGAGCCATTCCACTATACCCCTCCTCTGGCCTTGCTATAGGATCCTGAGAAAGTATAACATAGTTTTCTACCAACATTTTGTCAGAAAACCACCTTCTTCTCTATATTTATATGAAAATGTTGAGCGTTTCCACTCAGGAGGCCAAGACTTTTGCTCTAGAAATAATCACTTCCAAAGTTAGCAGTGGTAGTAAATCTTAGAGACTTTTATGATCTGAGGTCTAACAGTCATTTCTTTCTCTGTTTCAGAAAGGACTTCTATGTCTTCTTTTAATTTCTTCAATTTTTAAAATATTAAACTTTTGTTATAGACACTTTCAAAGATTGTAAAGTTAGATAGAATTATATAGTAAAGACCCATGTACTCATTACCCAGCTCCAAGATTTATCAGTTTATGGACTGCCTTCTTTCATCCATACTTCCATCCACTTCTCCCTCCCATATTATTTTGAAATAAACCTCAGAATCATAATACTTTATCCTTAAATACTTCAGTCTCTATATCTAAAAATATAAGATTTTTTCTACAGAACCACAATATCAACATCACTTTTAAAAATTAGTGAACAAAAATTATTTAATATCATCAAAAGGCCAAACATTGTTCAAAATTTCCACCTGTGTCATGAATATTTTTTAAAATTTATTTGCATCAAGATCCCAAGAAGGTCCACATATTATAATGCTTGATAGGTCTTTTAAGTCTCTCTTAATCTTAGGTTCTCTCTCTAATTTTTTCTCTTGTAAATGATTTGTGTTTAAGTAACCCGTCCCTCTTTTCTTAATCTCATATTAGCTTCCTTAACTCCAGAAAACTTCCTGCAGCCTAATCCTCACTAAAACATTTCATGAAGGATAAAGCCAATACTGACTTTTTTCAGGCAAGCTGGATCTACACTCTTTCTAGATATTCCCTCATATTTATAACTTTTGGAATAAAGATCCTAACAGTACAAACTGACCACATTCTTACCTGTCATTTTATAACTCTTAAGAAATGTAATCTGCGTGGTTCATCAAACTGGGTGAATATTACCTTCTGATACTTGCCACTCTTCCCATCCAGAGTTCAAAGGTCTTTTCACCGGATCCTGCACTGTATTACCTGAGGACACTTTCTGTTTGCAGTGTCTCCTAGTTTTCACAGCCGTTTTTACTTTCTTGAATGGCATGCCCAGGTTCAGGGTTGCAGGCATACACCAATACCCCAAGAAGTCTTGTCACATCTATCACTGGTTCTCATACCATCACTTGGCCTCTTTCTCTAGAAAAAACAACAAACAAAAAAAAACGGTCATTTAAGAAATTCAGGGTCTGAGTTAGAAGGCTTAAAGATCACTTTCCAAAGACTCTTTCTTCCTCATGTCTTCCTAGAAATTAATTACCAATCAATATCCTCAGCGAGCTCTTAGCAAAGAAACATTTACCATTTATTTCCTTCTTGATCATCCAGCCAAACACTCTATACCTGACAAAGTGTGTTAAGACAACCTGTAGGGGAGTTCCCTGGTGGCCTAGCGGTTGGGATTCTGGGTTCAATCCCTGGTCGGGAAACTGAGATCCCACCACCCACGTTGTGCGGCAAAAAAAAAAAAAGACAATCTATAGGGACTTTTCAGTTTCAGATTTGTCACTGTTCCCTAAAGCCAACAATGATCTTTGAGAGTGCGCTTCTATCCCCTCTCACAGTTCATAGTGCAGATATCCACCAGCTCAGGATTCCTCATAATAATCTCTGATAGAATCCTAAAAATGCAGTCTGAATTTTCCCAGGCTTCAAGTTCCTGTGGACACAAGAGAGAATAAATTAACATTAAAATTTGAATTTCACTTGCAAGTTATCCCTACTTATTAATGTAGAACCTCTTCAAGATCTACCATAATGATTTCTAAAAATTTCTAGGTTTCTTACTTATGCTCAGGCATAAGATCACCTTCTGCTCCCACCTCCTTGTTGATATCTTCTGCCTGTGAGCTTCTTTATTAATGGAAGTGCTTACCAAATTACTACCTCTCAGTATTCTTAAAAAACAAAAGAGTTCAAAACTCCACACAGAAATGGGAGGACTGTATCTTTCCCAACTCAGCATTTCTATCTGTCTCTTGACCCTGCTTAAGCACAGAGTCTCAGGAAAATGCTTACTAAAAAGACAATCCTTTCAGTTTCTGCATAGATTATGTCCACACTGTGGTCAGATCTAATTCCTGTTTGGGGGCCATACTATCCTCTCCATCTCCAGTAACTCCAGAGCTCCTAGGCCCTGTCTCCAAAGGACACACACACAGAAGTTCCTCTTCTTGACCACTTTCCTCAGGAAAAGATGTCCTTGGCTAAAAGCTCAGCCAACCCTGATATGCTATAATTACTCTTGTAGGTGGCATACACATCATTTTTACTGCATTTGGAAGATGCTTAAAAATGAACAGTTGAATTTATTGACATCATTGAGTATAGATGTGAAGTTATTCACTCATTCAACAAATATTTATTGAGTGCTTTCTATGAGCCAGGACAGTTCTAGGAATTGGAGATAAAACAAAAAAGACATGAACCACTCTTATGCACAACCATACCTATCATTATCTCAATAATGATAATTCCACATCTTCTACAGGAAATTTGGTGAGAAGGCATTCCTAACTTGAAAAAAGCTGTCATTTTCTGATATCATACTGCTACTCTTTCATGTGACTACCCATTTATGCTGTGAATAGCCTTCAACAGATAGATCTAAATTTTCTTCAGTGAAATGCAATTAAATGCATCCCACTGTACAAATCTGTGCGACCCTTCAATATGTTGTAACAATGTCCTACCTTCTTTTCTGTTCCTGTAGGTGTATCAGTTCCTATCCCAGTGATTGGACTGAGGGATGAAGACAAGGTGTTCATCAACAACAACACCTGCGTGCTGAATGACCCAAATTTCGTTCTTATTGGGTCCTTCGTAGCTTTCTTCATACCGCTGACGATCATGGTGATTACATACTGTCTAACGATCCACGTCCTTCGCCGACAAGCTCTGATGTTACTGCACGGCCACACGGAGGAACCGCCCGGAATTAGCCTGGATTTCCTGAAGTGCTGCAAGAGGAATACTGATGAAGAGAACTCTGCAAACCCTAACCAAGATTTGAACCCACGCCGAAGGAAGAAGGAAAGACGGCCAAGGGGCACCATGCAAGCTATCAACAATGAACGGAAAGCCTCGAAAGTCCTTGGCATTGTTTTCTTTGTGTTTCTGATCATGTGGTGCCCGTTTTTTATTACTAATATCCTGTCGGTTCTTTGTGGGAAGGCTTGTAATCAAAAGCTAATAGAAAAACTTCTGAATGTGTTTGTTTGGATTGGCTATGTTTGTTCAGGAATTAATCCTCTGGTGTACACTCTTTTCAACAAAGTTTACCGAAGGGCTTTCTCCAACTATTTGCGCTGCAATTATAAGGCAGATAAAAAGCCTCCGATCAGACAAATCCCGAGAGTTGCTGCCACTGCTTTGTCTGGGAGGGAGCTTAATGTTAACATTTACCGGCACACCAATGAACCAGTGATTAAGAAAGCTGATGACCAGGAGGCCGGTATAGAGATGCAAATCGAGAATTTGGAGCTACCAGTTAATCCCTCCAATGTGGTTAGTGAAAGGATTAGTAGTGTGTAAGAAAGAGCGGTGCAGTCTTTTCCTACAGTAAAGCTACAAATGTAGGAAATTGTTCTATAATTCTTCTGCCGGTCATAACCTAATGTAAATATTGCTGTCTGAAAAAGTTGTTTTTATATATAGCTTTGCAATCCTGTACTTTACAATCATGCTTACAGTAGTGAGATTTAGGGTTCTGTATTTACTGTTTATAATAGATTGAGAATAATTTACTTTGGTTGTTTGATGCAAACATGTTGATTTTTTCCCCCCTTCCTTCCTTCCTTCCTTCCTTCCTCCTTCCCTCCCTCTCCTTCTTGCTTTCTTTCTTTCCCTCTTCTCTCTCTCTCTCTTTTTCTTTTTCACATACGGAAGTGTTGATCTTCATCTCAGGTGACATTTGCAGGAAACCAGAATGATGCACAGGACAGTGGTTACATTTCAACCACGCCAAAATTGAACAAATTCAGTGAAATCTATTTTCTGGGTTAACAGTAAATATACACTTTAAATTCTTGCTCAGCTCATCTACACACATAAACACAGTAAGATAGGTTCTGCCATCTGATAATCTATCATAACTATTAGTGAGTCAAAGGCAGAACTTAGCCTTGTTGTCACACATAGGGGAAATTTTGACATTGTCAGAATGTTCTGTTGATATTTTACTGCAATGTCTGTCACCAGACATAGTGGTATTTTAACATAGCAGCTGGTTAACCAGGACTACAGAAGTGAAAGGATGATACGAGATATATACACCAATAACAGCTTTTCACTTCTTACAGACAATGTTCAAATTCTGATTATAATGACAAGCAAACTGGAATTAGTGTTTTCATTCTGGTCCTTAGTAAATACCTAATTCCATGATTAAACTGGGAAACAAAATCCCAGAGTTATTTCCCAATCCAGGATTCATCATCAATTGGGTTTTGATCTCAGGATCCTGGAAGTTTGTGTGCTACACACAAAATGAAATTAGCATTTTGAGCCTTATTAAAATAGTATATTAATTATGGTACCTCTATCTATAGGACCTAATTTAGCAGTCCATTTTTGAGTAAAACTTGCGTTGGAAGCATAGATGATCAAAAGCTTGGAAGTTTTGCTTGATTAAGGACTACAGAACTGGGCCCTTAGAATGTGAAAAAAAGGAATTAAAAAGAAGCTTTTACTGAACTTTGGGAAAAACAGAAATACAGAGTTTCCATTTGGATTTTAAACAAAATGTATCTCATTTACAGATCCTTCCAAACTCTCTAGTGCAGGCAAGGCTGCAGCTAATTTGTAAAAGTGGCAAGCTCTTCATTGTACTGCAATTATGTACCAGAAGTTTAAATCTTTGTTAAAATATAGTGTTGTGTTACAGTAAGTGTTGGCCATTGTTTCATTCTTGGGCCTGCTGCTCTCTAAGAGTTCAGTACCATTTTACTAGTTTGTTAACCGTGAAAGGTTTTCAAACATTGTTAAAGTCAGACCATTAAGTCTATGCTGTGTGCAGAGTGTACAAGGGTTTCCAGTAACTGTATTTCCATGTGTGTCCATGTCACACAACTGTGGATCAATTTCTGAAGAGTTCATGATGCTATTTCTTATGCCTGACAGTTACTTACACACCTTAGAGTATCTTGAAATTGGTGAAGGCAGAATCTGAATTTCTAAAACCCCTGGTGTGTGTCCTCAACACACAGCATAGATAAATCCAACAGTCTGCCACAAGGGCGGTGGGAGAGCCAACGGACGTATTTGAGGAAACTCATACAGTCCCTACGTGATTTGCAACACTGCCAAATGCCGGTCAATTGCTTGAGCATGCCCAAGTATGACATGAAAGTAAAGTCTACCTGCCTGTTGGCTCTGTTGAACTGCATGTTAAAACAGTTACATGAAATTGAGTGAGATCTAATTCTTACTGAAACGAAAATGTCTGAAGAAACACACCATGCACTGAGCATGAGTTCTGCACATACAGATGGTGTCCTGCATGTATACCATGTATGATGCATAAATCCATCCATTTGTATTAATGTAAGGCAGAGTAGGTGATATAAGAAGGACTGAAGCAAATCCTTCAGCAGTCTTTAAAAAGACCACGCAATCAGATCTGAAGTATGGTGAGTATTAGAGAAAATTGGAAACATCTGATTTCTTTCCTGAACTATCGGGGCAAGCTCATAGCACATGTTTTACAAAGAAATAAAATATAAACCACAGATTTTCAAAAGCACTAGCAATAAGTTGAACAATAATAGCTTACAGCACATTTGTTAATAATTCTTATGCCATCAAGTAGTAGTACTTAATAGTACCCAACACAGTAATTATTCTCAAACTGTGTGCTATTCATTAAGTTCTGTGCAGTTTGGTATGAAACAAGTACACTCATTTGGATATAAACCTTACAGTTCAATGTTAAACCTACAACTTTTATAAATGTTTTAAAGTCCATGTGATAAGTGTAAATGTGGTGAATTTACTGTCAAACAGATCATTTTGATGTCCTATTATGTATGTATATCTGTTTAAGACACGTGCAACAGACTGCCTTATATTATTTCCTGTAAGTCTTCTTCATCAAGTGGTACTTTTTGTGAGTGGTTGCAAAGTGTTGTCTTATTCCTGGTTCCTGTATGTTATCCATTCCAGGTTTTTGTGATACTTCCTATTAATTTATTAAATTTATTAAATGTTGCCTAATATGTCACCTGTCTTTTTTCCCCCTGCATCTTTTGAGGGAAAAATACACCACTTCATTTCTTGGAAAATTAAATTGTAACCTGTTAAATAAGTTCATAAAGACAAATACAACCAGAAAATATTACTCTTCTCTATGTACTCAAAGACTGTGACACCTGAGGAAAGAGGTGTAAACAACAAACGCAATATTAATAACAACATCACTGATGCCTGGTAAGCAGAATAACTGCAGTCTCAAATTATCCTACTTTCCTTAACCTGAGCAGGGGCCTGGGGTGGCTCATATGCTCTCCTTGCTATAGGTATCATTGCTATCTTATTCCCATCAAACTCTAAGCTCCCCTAGAGAGGACCATGTTTACCTTATTGATGGTTTTATCCCCAGTTGACAGCGGCCACTCTATGTTCAACAGACACGTATTGAGCGTCAGTATTTGTGGGCATTGTATTATCTGTTCCTGTTGCCAGAAGGAGTCTTACAACTCCCCACTATTCAGTCATGTGGTGTGACTTGATCACCTTAACTGACCCCTATCCCAAATGGCTTTGGATACCTGTGCAATCATCAGGGTCACCATACTAAGCTGCTCTGTTCCTCCATACCTGAAGCCATGGGTGACAAAATACACTGGGCTTTTCTTTCAACATTTGTACCTTCCTGACGCTGAGTGAGCCCACTGGCATGAGTTCAGTTCCCTGAGAAGAAAGCAGGAATACCTCATTCCTTTGCAACCGTGACTAGGTTGAGTCCTAGGAATGGGTCAAAGGATAAAGGTTGAACTGCCACTTTGAAACAACAGCGTCACTGCTGCCCATGGCTAGAAATATCTTGTACCACTGAAGCTAGGGACTACTCTTCCCCAACAGCAAGGCAATGGAGAGAGGTTGAAATTTCTGATGGCACAGACCTGGAGTTGTTACTACCAATGAAAGGGAAGGAGGGGCAGAGGAAGACTGGAGTGCCACATCCCATTGTACAGGAAGGTCTTCATGGTCTGAGGAAAGAAAGATGCTCCTTGCCATCAGGCAGCAGTACATTTCTGCTTACAGCAGAAACACACAGTTTCCACACAGTTAATCAGCTCCCCCTTAAGTCAATGCAATCTCCATGGTTGAGGCCCATTTCTCCTTGTATATTCCCCTAGACATATATTAACATATCACACAGAAAGCTGAATATATTAGAAAGAGGTATTTTTATAGGCAATGCCAACAGGAGTAGGTGACAGCATAGTGGCTCTCAAATATTATGTGACCCATAGCACACACTTTTAAACATAAATAGCTCTAAGATGGGTCCTCTGGGATATAAATTCTGAGATGGAAATAAGTGTGCAGGATGTTTATTAGGAAGTGATCTTGGGACCCATCTGCACGGGGAAAGGGAAAAAAGGATGACTGGGCAGAGGGAAAAGTTGGGCTGTGATGTAGTTACAATAAGGACTTACTCCCCCTGCATCTTTGGTAGGAAAAATATACCACTTCACCTCATTTTCTTTGAAAGTTAAATTGAATTCTATAAAATAAGTTCAAAAAGACATACTTAACCAAAAAGTATCACCTTTCCTGACTAATTCTGCATGTATTCAAAGACTATAACACCAGGGGAAAGACAATTGAGAGGTGTGAACAACAAAAACAATATCACACTTAGATGACTCTCATGGGAAGCTTCAGAGTTGTCCCAAGTTGAAGCAAGGGGCCAATCCTCTATAGCACCACTGTCCCCAAGAGAGATGTATGACTTTATGCCAGGTCACTCTCTTCAACAGAGGCAACTCCCCAAGAGGGCTTATACCTGAAAGTTGTCAAGTCCACAATCTCCCATCACCTGGGGAATAAACCCTTCAGCCCTGAAGGTAGGATCTGGTCAGTGTAGCATAGCATCTATAACAAATAGTACATTTATTGAGTAGAAAAGATTCACCACCTAATTCAAAAAGATTCACCACCTAGTTCAGCACCTATACAAATAACATGAAAGAACCTGGCTGCCTGTTACTTAAGCCCAAATCAAGGCAAATGGAGGTGAAAATAAATATATGTTTTTATATGAGATTTCTTTTCATGCTAAAGGTGTTCTCAATCAACAGCTTACTAGGATTCTTAGATTTCTGAACCCATCTGGATAGCTCAGGCTAAGCTGCAGTAAAAAACAATCCCAAAGTCTCAATGGCTTAACAAAACAAACACTCATTTTGCTCTCACACTCCATGTCTAACGTGGATTGCCAGGAAACCTCTTCTCATCATAGTTACTCTGGGAAAAAATGGTGATAAAGGCTTCATCCTTCACACTTGCTTCCATGTAGCAGAGGGACAGAAATTTAGTGACTCTATTTCTTAAACCAAAACTAACCCTACCGTTTACTTTCCATTTAATCCTAACTCTATCCATACCCTCATGTCTTACCTATAACAATATTTCTGTTCTTAACTTTATCCTTAAAGCTATCTCTATGTGTGTCCTGTCCTGCTCTTAACTTTATAATTAATTCTAACCCTGACTCTTGTTTCTAAATTACCTCTAACCATGATCCTGCCTTCTGCGAACTCTAACCTTACTCAAAACTCTAACCTCACACTTACTATTAACTCC